CATTGTTGATAATACCATTGAGACTAAATAATTTCCTATGGTTTAACTTTTTAGTGGTAGCCGAATTTGAATTAATTTGTATGACGCAGGCAGGTGACGTCATAATAGCGCACTGTGACTCACGCATAAATAGGCCTATGACTTGGGAGTCCTGAAAACCAAACATTCGAAAAACGTATGTCTAAGCTCAAAACCGCGTATCCGTTTAAGAACAATATTTTTTATTATAACGCAATACGATTTATATTATCAATATAACGTGCTCTGCGCACCAACCGAAAATAACTTTTTTTTTTATAAATATTGATTATAAAAATAAAATAGCGATGCACCTCAAATAAAATACAAACAACATGAATTGCATGGACGGAGAAATTTTATATCACATGTGCCCACTTTTCTATGCTGAAAAAAAAAAAATTGAATTCAAATTTATAAGCTAGGACAGTGGTTCACGAATTTTTAGAGATGGAACCCACTATTTATCACCACAGCTCATGGCGACCCATTCAACTTTTTATGACATAACACAAAACACAGAATTAGCTAATCATCGCAAAACTACTATGTTTCCTTGAAAATAGGACCTGGCCTGAAAATAGAACCTTATTTGAATTTTAAAGATGATTCCTTGAAATAAATTTAAAATGTGTGGGGGAGGAAAGGTTCAATGACCTGAGGTATAGTGAAGATCACACCATTATTCAAGATTGTGTGATGTCACAATCACAATTATGGCATTTGTTATTAAAAAATCTCGTGATTTTCTACAATGTAATTTTATTTTTGATAAGTGAACACAAAAGACTTTTTCCAAAAAAACATAGTGTTCAAAAGAAAATAAATCTAAATCCTATCTAAATTTCGGGGAAACGCGGTAAGTGCTGTACAGTGTACAAAACTGCTATGCGTAAAAAAGCCATATGGTCATTCTTTGTGTAGCAAATTTTTGTGTTCTTTTGATAAGATCGTAAAAAGGAAACTTTCACAGATTAGAATTCAAATTCAATTTAATTCATTTTGTTTTTTTGAAGATTTACGTATTCGAGTCGCCATCGATTCTAATAACCAGTATAATTAATCGAAGCTTTCTACATCTTTTCACGACCCACTGAGATTCCTTTTGCGATCCACGAACCGCTGAGCTAGAATCCATGATGCAAAAACTCGAAAAATGTTTTGCCTTTTGACGCCACAATGATCGCATGGTAAACCATTACAATGGCAATAATGTGCATCTCACCTAAATCTCCATTTTTATGCGTTTTGGAATGCTTGGGATAAAATTTAAGTTACTGACGGGTGTACAGTATTACATAAATAGCACTTGTACCATAAGCTCAAAACTGCCAAAGAGTGACTTATACAATTCGGTTATCAGCCTGACGATATTGTGCAATGATTTATTTGTAAATAAAATATTTACAAGTAATGAAGGTCAATCCTAGCTAGAAAGCATATGTTTGTAAATATTCACACCACGGGAATATTAATTTTTGCGAAAGTTCTATTCATAGTTTATTATAAAAAATACCTTAATTTGTTATTGCACGATTCGATACTTTATAGGAATTCAGATGAGCCGAGTGGGGGAAGGAGTGAAAATTACCTCATCATTGACAAGAACGGACAATTTTATGATTATGGATCAAACTTCCAAACAGGAGTTATATGCATGGAAGGTCAGCAAACTAATCGAACCAATCATATATACCGTATATAAATGTTTGTAACGCTAAACAAGAAGTATCACGATATATATAGAACAGTGGTTCTTAATCTTTGTGAGCCTGCCGAACCCCTGCGCTATTCTGCAAGCTCCCGCCGAACCCCATTGTACTGAACGGTTGAAATTAGAAGCCAAACCGTAACGTCATAAAGCGGAAGCTAATTCTTGCAAGGTTATAGAATATGAACATTGTGATGAAACCTTAGATATCAATAACCATGTGAGAATAACCATTGTTTTGTCACAATGACGTTGGCGGCAGAATGAGCAGATGGTTTTTGTTGTAAAAGTTATGCGGGTGAACAGGCGAAAACTGAAAAAAAATAACTTTGAAAATCCGAAAGATGATAATATACCCCATAAACGTTGGTAGTTCAAGCAATTTGTTCTCAAACTTCAAACTGCGCTGAAATGCGAATAAAATCGTTTGCCAATTGTTTTATTTTACAGAAATAGAGATAGGATTAATTCGGCGCCATATCGAGGTTGTCCTGAATGGATCATAATAATTTCGGGTAAAGCTCTGCGATAAACTATTCCTTGTCGCAAATTTATCACCTAGTGAAATTCAAACACGCTATGATTTTGCATTCATTCATGTACAATTACTGCCTATCTTCGATTTATCCGTAAAATTGAGTTAAATTTTATTAGTACGGTAGAATATGAATAAGGGTAACACCAATTAATTGTTCCATTCAATTGTTCAAGTCATTAGTAATCAGTCATCATAAACTAAAGTTATTTTTGCATAATTAGTATGCAGGGTGATAAAAAAAGTCTCATAATATGCAACTGTTTCAGAGCACCTTCGTCGAACCCCTGGAACAGCTCCACCGAACCCCAGGGGTTCGATCGAACCCAGTTTAAGAACCACTGATATAGAAGTTTTAACAACACTTTCGTTTCACTCTTGTTTAACTTGCAAATAAACCGAAATATTTTCAATAATTTCCTTGTAGTATTTATCCCATCAAGAATTTATTTTTTCCCAGGTCAATGATCAATTGGTTTTCACAATCGTATTATTTTTACCAAAATACTCAATTTAAAAAACGCTATCATTTAGTCCTAAAAGCAATATTTGAATGAAACTCTTTAAATATTCATGTTTTCATGAAATTGTTGCCAAATGGAATTTCATAACTTATGAGTAGTTTATAATTACTATTATGTTGCCTGGCATTCCCATCAACTTTATTGTATGGATACCAGCATTGGTATTGGTAAGAATATAGTTCGATTTTATATTAAAGCTTGATAGAAAGAATGGCAGGGGTAAATTGTCTTACATATCTTTGTAGAATATAATGCTTATAACAATAATTGTGATTAAATAATTACATGATCTTTTATATAATATATTATCATATAATCATCAAACAGTCATAAATTTTTAATAAATCAAAACAATTTATGGCAGCAAAAGATTTCGCTCATTTTTTGATGAATTCATTTTGACAGAGTGGTTATCGAGGTGTAAAATAAACCCAAGCGCTCGTTTCGTGTTTTTTATAATCCAAAACCCGAACCAACAACCATTCTTGCCTACATTTTTATATCGTTTCGATTTAGCGATTGACGCAGTGGTTATCGAAGTGTATAATAAACTCTACGAGTAAACTCTATAGAAGGTGTTGTGTTTTTTATTAACCGAAACCTGAACCAACCACCATTCTTGCCTACATTTTCCTACTGTTTCGATTTAGCGATTTCCATTACAATTTCTTCGGGAATATACAGATTGATTGCAATTGGAAGTCCTCACCCTAAAGTTCATTATGAAACAGCTCGAACAGAATGTGCAAAAATCCAATCTCGAATTTTGAAATTGACATCGGCCACAAAATCTCTTATCAAGGGCCATTTAAATTCTGAGTAAGTAAATATCGAAAATGAATATTGAGCCAAGTGAAACAAAACATATTTAATTTTGTAAATTTATGATTTTTAGTCATTTCACACCTGATGATAAACTCTGGTTAGAAAACACAGGTTCTACTTGCAATTCATTTTCATTGAGTGATTACACATCAAGAACCACATATTGTACTGACAAGCATTACTACATTTGCGAACAAGGTAAAATAGAACAAATTAGTGAAACTTCAACCAAGAAATATTGCAGATGAAATTTGTTACATTAAATTAGCAGTTTATTTCATTCTGTAGCTATTGATGAGGTCTTGTTTAAATATTTAAAATATATAAATGTGTCATTATATAAAAATTTTCAGCTGGACCGTACGATATGCAGTTATCACAAACCAACTTCATTGTAACTTCCTATACTGGCAAAAAAGAAATAACGTGCATGGTATCTGGGTATCCATCACCGACTGTTAAATGGATGAAAGGAAACATTGTACTTACTTCAACAAAATTAAATAATATGTCCAAAAACGGGCAAAAATTAGTTTTGGATCTAAAACAATCGACAATTGCAGACGAAGGACAATACATATGTTTCGCATCAAACACAGTTGGACAGACTTTTTACGAGTTTACACGAACCCTTGATGTAAAAGGTGAGATTAGCAATGAAGTATCGTATAAAATACATACATATTTCAAGACAATTTTATAACAAAAAATTAAATTGGCTTTATTGAGCAGGATTATCAGCTACCAAATTCATTATTGCTCGACCATCTTTTAACAAAGTAATATATATTATGTGTCAAAGAATATACATACAAAATAAAACAGTTCAGGGAAATATATACGAACGACTTTGAATATATTTTCAGTTCCAAGTAAACCATCAATCATCAACATAACTTCGCCACCTTGCAGTTCCTATTTATTGGTCAATTGGAAGCCACATATCCGTGGGGTTGGCATTGAACACAGGTATCTAGGTTCATCTGACTAAATTTTCGCAATGAGTTATGTGTACTTACCCAGAAGTAAACACGTTTCACGTAAACTCACAATCAACAAAAAAAAATGAAAACCGAAAGGGCCAAATAGTCTAAATAAACCGGCGGTTCTAAATTTGCAGTCGTATGTTTCTAAAAATCTAACTTCTGATTTTGTTTCAATTGGTTACTACAAACAAAACACAATCACAATAGCAAAAATACAAAACAATAAATACTAAATAATTTTTATATACCAACATCTAAAAAACTAAATTTGACTTAGCTTGTCAGTAATAAACTAGCGCTTTTCAGTAATAAGTACTAAGTTTGGTTGTTAGCCATTTGTTTTGAATCATCCATGAATATTTTACAAAAATTCACTAACGTTATATCATAGATTTCGAATTATGGATGCTATCAACAGCAACATTTCTAATGATTTCTTCACAACACCGAATAGTATCTCCGTTATGTCCAACGTGACAGGTCTGCAACCGTCAACATCTTATATTATTGAGGTAATTTCTTGGTACGTAGGATTCACAAAATTTGAATGGACGAAAATCTCTCTGTTGTAATCTCCTATGGCCGTATAAAAAAATAACAGTTTGCAAATACTTGTCTCTGAACTTTTAGATTGAACCATGCTTGACCACTCCGTCAACTTGCTACAGCCAATATGCCACTAGCACAAATGCAACCACTGGAGGTCTATCCGGATTTGTTACAAAACCAAGTCTGAAGATGACTTTTGATGGGTCTTGCAATGTATCTTGGTCAACAGTAATGAATGTGGCATATATATCCGGTTTCAAGGTTTGTAGACCGTGTACTGGAGGTGTGAATGAGTTAGAGTATTTGACAAGACGTTTTTTTTATCACTTTCTGTTTAAACGTGGATATTATCATATGACATGAAAATGTCATTCATTCTAATTTATTTAAAGTTTCAAATTTATTTAGTATAATCTAATTCTTCCAGCATATACAACTCTTTGAAGTTAGACTATATATATCCGTAATACTATGTTCGATGCCAAAAAATGAAGAATAATATTTCATAAATTGTACAAATACCTTTACTTAAAATCAAATCATTTTATTTAAGCTCGTTATCAGCTCAACAAAAGCAATAGTGTCGTCATACTATAAAGATGATTTCAAAACAAATGAAATATTTCTGCCATCTGAGAAAACCTCATATGTTCTTCCAAAAGTTTTCAATAGAAAATACAATGTCTCTATTCAAGCTAAAACTTGTGCAGGGTTTGGACCAGGAACAAAGGCGGTTGGGGAATGTGTTACTGATACTAATGGTGATAAGTTTGCTTTTCCATACATTCTTGTTATAATATTGTAATTTGATATCACTGATAAATAATTAATAATTCCGATTTCCATCTAAATGCCTACTTACATATAACTTCTTCATAAGTGTATTTATTATATACACATTTTTTTGCATACGCGCTGGGACTCGGCTAGGGTCCCGTTCTATAAAAATTCAGATTACAACTATAAAAATACCGCACTTAAAGTAGCGCCGAACATTCCCCCCTTATTAGAGCGCATAATGCATATGCGCACTTGATTATGAAAATTAAGATTTGCACTAAAATTTGTAATTGACAGCGCCATCCAACATTCAAGCGCCTACGGCCAATGATGAAATAACAAATGATGGAAATTTGAAATTTTCCATCAACGTTCCAGACGAAGCAAATGGTCCTATAAGGTGATTTATATAATTTACGTTTCATAGAAATACAAATTGACGGTATATATAAGTCAAATTTAATATTTGGCGAGACGATTAGAAAAAAGACGTTTTCATACAAAAATTGCAATGCCGGTTTAAAGATCTAGGTAAACCCAATTCAAGCTATATCAACCACCAGACCAGACAAAATTTGGTTAAATAAGCTAAAAAGGAATACTTCATAATTGTAATATTTAGGATTTAATTGTAATTCTTAAGATGATAATAATTATCCACGAGTGCTCAAATATTTATTAATCAATTACTTCTTATACAATATTAGTTGTTACTTTATCGTCGTTCAAGTCAACGGGGGAAGTAAACAATTGACGGATTTCAACAATGCAAAAATGATCAAAATGAATAACTCGGAAATTAAAGATGAATATATTGCAATAGCTTTGAACAGAACTAGGTAAGATCCCTATTTGAACGTTCCCAACATGAAAGCATATTATGTCAAAACTATGCCTAATTATTGTGTGGGATTTTTCCTTTGTTGCCAAAACATAAAATATTTCTGATTGCTATTTGTTCAAATTATGCGCAAATGGGCGTAACATAACAGTTACCGGTACTCATAATGGTAGTTTATATTACATTCTGCAAAACTCTAAACATAATCCGACTGGTGGGGTTGTTTTATATACAACTTAATAATTACATTTATTAAATCCCGACTATTAAAATAAATTTTTGCAACAGGATAATTTATATATTTAGCCTAAATGTACAATATGATATTTCCTTGAAAAAATATCGTGTAATACATATTCTCCATTTAAAGCGTTGGACAAAACCATCCAGAAATAAGTCTGTTTCTTGGAGATCAAGTTAAAACAAGGTGTGACATTAGCGGCAAAAACAACAGTGATAAAGAGTATAATTCAAAATATACGTATGCTGCTTATAACAATAGATTGTCACTCAAAGAAACTTACAGGTACGAGAATAATACATTTTATTACTTATGTATTAGTTTTCAAAAAATTCCGTTTCCCACACTTCCTCCTTTCCCCTTTCGTTCTACTAAATATATTTAATATAAAAGGAACAAGTGGAGACACCGCCTCTGCTTTGGAATATATGAATAAAATAGATTTGTGATTTAGATAACGGATATATGTATTCGTATATCAGCTGCAGATGGTAAAGCCTCGGAAACTATTTTTTAAAAATCAGAAATAAACAATATATTTATAAGTAATTATGAACCAATAACTACCAATAACTTTTTATATATATATATATATATATAAGTAATTTTATAAGTAATAACTACATGCCATCGTTGTATTTTGCAGAATATTTCTTGTAACCTCTACACCAACTAAGGAAGGTGTTTCATTCCGTGCTAGTGACGCACTCGTGATTGGGAAACCGTTTACAGGTGATTAAAAAAATAAACAAAAATTAACTTCTGGTTTCTTTGTCAAAAGTGAACATTTTTACACGAAAAAAAGTTTGTGCCCATAAGCTATGATATATTAAATTGTGATATATATAATATTATATTGTTGCAGATGAGTGGAAAACTTTTCTTATCATTGGTTTGGTCGTGGTAGTTTGCATATTGCTAGCTGTTGGAATCATTTTCATATTCAGGTATCAATCGTTTTACTAAAATCAATAGGTTGTAATGCCTAATTTTTAGACAAATGAAATTGTTGAATAATCCATAACTGCTACCTTTCAAATACTTCTTTTATTGTTCCTTGTAAGCGTGGAAGTTGCTTTGATTATTGAATTAAATACTATGTATAATCAATAATAATGATGTATAAGTTGATACGAAGCAGAGAACCGTCGGTTTCAAGTAAGGCTGGAATAAAATAGGTCATATGACTGGAATGAAATTTGTGATGGTCACCCAATAGTTAGTACCCTTTTTCTTCTCTTTCTCTTGTGTAATCGAAAATAAATTTTAAATTACAATAGACGAAGGAAAAATTCTAACAAGAAAATTGATCAAATTGTTCAATATCGTAACAATCCACAAGGTAATTACAATTACGTTTATGAATTTTTGATCATCAAAAGTTTTATGCATTCGAGGCGTATTGGTATGCAGTAAATGAGTATGCTAACGTACATATATCAAGCAATTAGATAAATTGTACTGTTTTACTGAGTTTTCGAACGAGTATTTTTTACGAAGTTGAAGAAGAAGAAATATCAAGCACAAATGTTCCACTGCGTAATTTTGAAGATCATTACAGGAATCTATTTCATAATGATAAAGCATTGTTTCACGAACAGTTTAAGGTAATATCAATCAAAAGTTGAGAAATTTAACTATTTCCATACACAAAGTGTGTTAAATATTTATTTTACTAATAACTAATACTGCATATTAAATACAAAGAATTGTATGTAGCGTAACATAAATTTTGGATTGGTATCATTTTAATTTGGATACGACTTCTTTTTCAGAGAATAAAGATCGAATCAAAAGCAAATGTGAAAAGTACAACGTTTGCATCTACTCTCGAATTAAAAAGGAAAAATAGATATAAAAACATATTACCATGTTAGTGTCAATTATTTCTTCTTTGAGTAGTACATTTATGATATGATATCAAATTGTACGTGATACCATTATTTATTTATTTATTTTTTATATACGATGTATATATCAGTCTCTCACTCAAGCAAATTTCTTAGCCACTTGTTTAGTAAGTCTTCCCGGTCGACATTACCTTCCCGATTCATCACATAGTGACTAAAGTGGCTGACATATTATTTGAACCTGAGATTTTGATCATCGATTATAGTTGAGTCCAACACGTTAACCACTCGGCTACTGTGCCCGTACAGCTTCCTACATAGATATAACTATATTTGAAAACTGCAGAATAAAATTGCGAGTACCAATTAAAACCTGAGTATCAAGATACCAATACCCGAAGCTTCTTGTCTTTCTTATAGATGACGAAACTCGTGTTTCGATCAAAGCTAATGACACCGGATACATCAATGCATGTTACGTTAATGTAAGTGGTGTTTGAAATACAACTATGATTTAAAATAGATATATAATTCACACCGTCAAATATTGGGCTATTTGGTTTCTTTTGCATTTTGACATTGCATTTTATGTGTGTGATATATAAAGTCGAGTATTAAACTTTAAGGTATATAATACGATTTTGGTTCTCCTAGAGCAGGGATGGCGAACCACTGACCCGCGGGTCACAAAGTGACCCACCGCGTTTTATTCGTGACCCGCAAAGGCACGAATAAAATAAAATTCTAACATATCAGTGATGAAAATTGATAAAATCGACATTAAATTAATCCAACAATAACTAAACGAGAATATCGGTCGAAGACCGACGACTTATCGATTGAAAGTTAGGAGATCCTCCAAAACAGAAACCGCGGTTTCGATTCATTCGATATGATTCCATAGCAACACCGTGTGTCCCATCACTAATTAATCAATAACTCGCTAATTATAAGACATAATTCATCCAAAATCAATAGGCTTATTGTCCGAGATATGATGAATGCACATGCAAAATTTGAAGATTCGTGAGATATCGCGTAACATACGAAAGTGTCTGTCCAACAGACAGACAAACAAACAAACTAGAATTCGGTTGGAAACCGAAGACTTATCGATCGAAGGTTAGGGGATCCCCCAAAACAGTGGTCTTACTCCATAGTGACACCGTGTGTCCCATCATTAATTAATTAATAACTCGCTAATTATACGACATAATCCCTCCAAAATCAATAGGCTTCTGATCCGAGCTATGATGAATGCACATGCAAGGAGCAGATTGAACCTCGCTTTCGTGAGATATCGCGTGCATCTAACAGACAAATACCTATCAACATACCGCTCTTTAGATCGATAAGTAACAAACAGACAAATACCTAACAACGTACTTACCGCAAGATCGATAAGTAACTATTATAATGTACCGTCAGTTGGGCAGTCAGGGCTGCGATCGCTCGTATTCAAATTGTTAATTTCTGTGCCGGTATGGTAATTTTTAAACCCCCGATGTTGGACGCATGTCTGCACCGCTGTGTACCGGTATTCAGCTATTGGCTCTAGCATCGTTTATGACATAACAATGCAATTCATGTTCATTTCTTGCAAAGTCTTGTCTCTTTCAGAAGTGCATCTGCAGACTGTTTTAGGGCTTATATATATATATATTAGAACTAGATGCTACTTTGAATTTTATTAGTTTCTCGCCTACAAGGCCGTTGAGAAAACAAAATCTTTCAGACTTGAAATAAAAACCTAGAAATCTAAAATAACAATGGGGCAGCGTAAAAGTGCCTTAATGTGCTTGAAAGCTGATTGAAAAATATAAAACTATCATAGTGGGATTCGCTCCAAACTCTTTGGAACCGTAAAATAATTTACCGCTTCATCCTAAACGGTTTTGGTAAATCATATGGTTGTTTCCGTATCGAGTGCCATAAAAAGTCCCTGATAGAAGTGCTGCATACGTAAATCACAAAACTACACTAACACCAACAGAAGCTTATAAGATTTAAGAAGTTTCTTAAAGATACAAACATTAAAAAAATAAATATCTGTGACCCACTCACTTCTGTTCCTCGATAAAAATTTAATTTTTGACCAATTCATTGAACAAGGTTCGCCATCCCTGTCCTAGAGTATGCGCACCAAGATGTCGCACAACCTGAACCCTAACCAGGTACACAACCTGAGTTCAGGTTGTGCCCCATCTTGGTGCGCATACTTCAGGAGGTCCACAATTTTTTACTTTACAACGTTACCTTTATGTATGTATAAAACTGAAAGATATACGGGGTATCCAAAATATTTCGCCCGATTTTATAGTATTAAAAATTTGAAAAAATTCCGTGTTCGTTTATCAATAGTTCTTATTGTGATTGTATTTCTCATTTATCATACAATATTTTTAAACTTACAATTATATTACAATAAAATTGAGCAAAATTTTTGATTGTTCTTACTAAAAAAAAAATTTGGTCGAACTATTTATATTTATATATATATAATACAATACTTTACTTTCTGCTAACCATCCATGTTTTTGACATCAACAGGGTTATGCTAAATCACGTAAATACATCGCAACTCAAGGTCCTTTACCAACAACTGTTGATGATTTTTGGTTGATGATCGTTGAGCAGGAATGTAAAGTCATTGTTATGCTGGCAAAATGTTTTGAAGCAGGAAAAGTAAGCAAAATCGTTAGCAATACAGAAATTTATATGAAGATAATACTAATATATTTATATATATACATGTATAAGGATGCGAATGACGTATACATAGTGAATAAATTAACAGCTGCAAAAGCATATATATTGTATAATTTAATTAAGGCTACTTTTTATTCTGTATTTGTAGAAAAAATGTCAAAAATACTGGCCAGATTATGGAATTACTTCTAGTTTCGGAGTAGTTAAGGTTTTCAACTCGGAAGAAGTAAAGTATTCCGGCTTTATACGAAGAAGATTTCAAGTAGAAACAAATGATGGGGTTTGTATAGCTTTGTTTCATAAGCAGGCAAAGAGTTCATTAAGGCCTTCTGGTTGATAACATTTTATTTTTCTTCCAAATGTGTTACGTGGAAGTGAATATGGCAATGGGATTCAAACAATTCTTTTTCAGAATATAGCAATGGAAGTATTGCAATACCAATATGTGAACTGGCCCGACCATGACATACCATTCACAACGTCTAATCTTGTGAGAATGCATAAAGTTGTGATGCAATGCCAAGGAGAGTTTGGAGATGATGCGCCGATGATCGTGCATTGCAGGTAACTGATATATTTACTTTTGCGAAACTAAAAGTATTTCAGATATTCAACGCAGTATAATGATGATGATTGAAAGATAACAAGAACTAGAATATATTCATAAAATTTGAATGAAATTAATTTCCATTTAGTGCTGGCGCTGGAAGGACGGGAACATTTATAGGATACGACTATTTGCTCGAAGAAGGAAGAGATACAGGAAATGTTGATGTATTACAATGCGTATTGAAGATGAGATCCCAACGTGTCGACATGATACAAAATTGCGTCAGTGCTTTATTCTATCTTTGTTGATAATTGATTTTTGAGAGTTCTGGTAACATAGAAATTAAGAAAAAATAGCAGATTGCCAATTTTGACTGTCAGTAAGTTTGAGTAGAAGATGATGCTGCCAATGGAAAGAGATTTTTTAAAACTTAAACAATCGTTGCATCTTTAGGATCAATACATACTTTTACACAAGTTGATTCTGGAAAACTACCTGTTTAAGAATACTGATTATAATGCACAGGATATTGGGCACAAATTTCAAGAAATAACAAGGTAAGATTAACCACAAAGAGCGAGCGAGCTAGTATTGCATTTGAAACAAGAGAGCAGTGCTCACATATACGGACACGAAATGTAGTACTGTAGACTTCATCTGACAACCAGATAGCGGCACGAGATGCGCAATTTTTAATTTCGATGACGTCATCGCACATAAAAATGAATATTATATTATACAGCCCACGGAACGTTTGAAATAAATAAAGTAATAGTTTTTGAGCAAAAAACACAATCTTCATCTCTTGGTCCATTATTTAATTAAAACAATATTTTTTCTTAGCAACAAGAATACAAAATGACAAAACGATCCATCGGTCACGTTGTGTCCAAAACAAAGTAAAACTAGTATTTCTAATAATAAAATATATTTGCTGTTATTTGACTAAAGAGTTAGGGAAGAAAACTGTAATTTATCATATTCAATTTAGCCATGAAAAACGAAGAGAGTTTCGTGATGAATTTGAGAAATTGTCAATATTAGAACCTTTGAAATGTTCTAAACTGATTGGAAGACGTTATGAAAATAGAAGATACAATATATCAGACGATGTGATTCCTTGTAAGTTGAACTATATAATATAATAATTCACATTATTGCGTCTTTGTATATATATATATTTCCACTTTCTTTATTTTTATCAGACGATCATAATGCAGTTGTTTTGATAATGTGCAACAATGAAGCAAGTGTGCCATATGTAAATTCATCGTGGATAGAGGTAAGACAAATAAGTAACTGCTGTTGAAATATTTTTGAACATCACAGATCTTTATTAGCATTGATTTTGGTATGTCATGTAGCCTACGTGTTTAAAATAATTATCAAATGTCAACTTTTACCATAAGTCACATCTTGATATAATGCATATTTATCACAGACGTACGATGAAAGCACAAGTATGATTGCAGCACAAGCACCGATGAACGAAGGAATTCCATTCTTTTGGAGATCTGTACTGGATAACAGAGTTAATACTATTATCATGCTAGCTTGTGTTGAGGTAAGTTTCCTAAAATGCCAAATTTTCATTTAGTCAACTTGGTTTGGTTGAAATTAGTATATATAAGTTGTTTTCAAATCGACTATCCAGTAAAACAATAAAAAGTATACCGCTCCATTAACTATATCCCGATTTATGCGCTTTCAGTCAGTTAATACCCCGGATTACGTTCAACAAAAAGCAAATTCATGAAAACTAATGGTATTTGAAGCAAACTGTATTGAAGAGTATTTCAGCAAAAATGTTGCTCATCGTTCCCGTAGTACTAAAACCTAAAACCTGGAATAATTTTTGCTTATCACAACCTCGGAGATATTATTTTACCATAGTTATACACCATATTCACAAAGTCAAGCATGCGAATTCAAATATTTATGATGTGAAAACTGCAATTCTCCAAAACATACACTCGCATATGCAATTTTCTAATCCCAAAGATGATGTACTACGTTCTTGCACAGGAGTGCATTCAGTATTGGCCACATGATGTTCGGGCTACGTTGAGCATGGAAAACGTTTCTGTTACTTTGATGGAAGAAAATATAAATGGATCAATATCTCGTAGAATTTTTAAAGTGTTCAGAGGAAGCCAACAGGTTAAACTACATAAAATATATATATTACCTTTTATTTACTATAAAACGATACTGATAACTATTTATGATGAAAATCAATATTCGATATTATAAAGCTTACAAATATTTGCTTCATGGCTTCCATTTTTGAAATCTTTGTTAAAGTATGAAGGACAGTGCAAATATACGAATATCTAAGTAAATTTAGACTCATGTTACTCAAATACAATATTCTGGCTGGAGCAATGAACAATGTCCAGAAGATGGAAGCATTGTATTGGATATTATTGGGGAGATGCAGAGAAATGCAAGAAGTGTGCAGGAATCAGCTTGTCTTATCCACTGCACGTACGTAATTTAGTATGGATTTCCATACATGTCAACCATATAGTGATGATAAAGACTTTCAAAAAATATTAGAAATTTATTTTTGCTTATTGTTATAGCGACGGAGCTGGACGCACTGGAGTATTTTGCGCACTTGCAAATTTGATAGAGAGATTGAAACACGAGAATAAAGTTGATATTTTCCGAGCAGTGAAGGATTTGCGTGATTGCAGACAAGGAATGGTTCAGACTTTGGTAAATTCTTCTACATGATATTTGATAGGTGGAGTTATGTTACGAAAATTTGTTACATGAAAATCTAAATAGACGACGGTGTTTAAACATTTACATTGATTGTTCATTGTACATTCAATGCAAACACTCAAATTTACAACCTTAATTCTGGTATTAATTCAGTCTTTAAGCAACAAGGCTCTCATTTTCTACGGCTTGTTGTCATTCAATTCTATCTATACACCTATAAGCCCAATATTTTCTATCTCTGTATATTCAGATGTTTTAAGTATTGTGGCCCAGAAAACTAAAATAACGAAATATATTGTGATTGCAGGAACAATACAAATTCTGTCACACTGCAATCTGCAACTACATGAAGTCGTTTGAGATCTATTCTAACTTCGAAAATAAATGACTGAACAATGTATATATGTATAGGCTGTATAATTCTTCTACTATTCAACATAATCTTGTATCATATTTCATTATGAGACTTCACAATCGTGGGAGCCAAATATTTGAAATGGCGAATAATCTGATTGAACTTTAACCCTAAATCATTTTATTAAATAAAGTTTGCTGTCCGCCTACTGTTACTAACTTCAACGTGGTGCACCTCCGACGGCTGCATTTAAAACACCCAATCGAACGCGTTTTACTAGTCTGAATAATACTGTTGTGTTTCGTAAAACGAGTGTGAAATAAACCGCTGATTTAGATTAGAAGATCAAATTTGGGTCTGATGATATTTATCCAACGCTTACAAAACCTCATTCTTTAATCATCGGTCTATCGGACATGCTATTCAGGTTACTTTCGTAGAAAGGTGTTTCTATTTTGTCCTAATGCATTATTTTCCAATTAAGACTTTTATTGTCAATACTGAAGTTTTCCTTTTTCGTATTTGTTTTCCACGACGTTTTTCTCCAATATTTAGCTATTATTATATATAATATATATATCCTGAAAATCTATATTCGCCAATCGTCAATAATGTCTAATATGTTTGTATGTTTGTTTTTTTAAGCATTGATTTTTTGAAATGATTGATGATTGATTGATTGATTTGAAATGATCTTCAATTTAGTTCGACCTACCAGGCAGAGTATTTTCTGAAACTAATTTGCAGATACTCATTAAAAACGCCACTTTTCAAACCTAATAAACAACGGTTTACACGATTTGAAATATCACCGATAAAAGTACATTCAAGTTATTTACTAAATCTCAACCGCTGATTTCTGCAATTCGCTTACTAGGGTTTTACTTAGAGGGCTTGCAACACACAGCCTATTTATTCCATAAGCATATATTAGCAGCGAGTTCATATTGATAGTGACTGCGGATGTCAATAATGTTGGCCACTCAGTGTTGATAGCGCATGCTATTTGCGCAAAACAACGTCGTAATCTGATTTATTTCCTATGTGATTTACAGTGAAAGACTTTTCATGCAATCGTTTCATGCCATGCGATACGATGTTTTCAGTCCACGTTATAGGTTTCGCATTGTTTCCTATTTATAATTTGGTATTTATCATGTGTACGTGTATTAAGATTTAAGAGTAGACATATTCAATTATCTGCTACTTGTAATATTTCAATTCGATTGTTCATCTCTACAATATATGTGCATTTACAACAGAAATATTGCGTGTTTTACGACCTCTGGAGGTTGGGGTATTCCGATAGGTAGTCATTCGGAACCAAAAAGTCGATTAGAAATGCCCAGGCCTATGCTTTTCAAATATTGGCCTACTTGACCTTTCCGCAGAATTATAGACTATATAGACTTATTACTTTCCAAATCAGATATAAAAAGAAATTTCTTGTCGATTTACTTCGAATGTTTGCAACAAATTGAATGTTCTTGTTACTGTATCCATACCACCACCTGGGAATAAAAAATAAAAAAGGTTATTGCACCATCCTGCTGACCTAGTGAATATTATACAGGCTACGTATGATAATTTAAATATTATGTAACTATTATACAGTTTTTTTTTTAATTTCATATTACGTGTCTTCTTCTATGAAAAATGATTATTATCGAACTTCCTGTCCAATAATTTATTTTTATTGAGTTCACTTTTAAACTTTGAAATTAAAACACTACCCTGAGCTATGACATTGGTTATTCATATGTTCAAGAGTAAACAAGGCCTTATGCCAATATTGTTGCCTTATCTACATTCCAAATCAAATTTAAAGAAGACTTTCTTGTCGAGTTTCTCTGGATGTTTGTAACAACTTCACTTTGAATGTTTTTTTTGTGTGGGTGTATTCATATGTCAGTATGTATACATTGATGTATCACGCCTCTGTATGACTGATTACACACAGTACAGTACTTCGTCTAACATAGTACATCATAGATCTGGTTAATTTCAATGCCTGGCCTGAACAATATACATACTTCAGTGCCTGTCAATCGGGGAATCCCCATAAGTTATCTGGTGGGTTCGATTAGAGATGTTGCCATGTACAATTTATGGTCGTCGCATATAACTTTCATGTCTATTGGATGTTACATGTGGTTCAGCTGCCAGAGCCATGCTCATATTAAAAGTGTTCTAAAAACGTAATTTATTTACAAATTAGGTTAGATATTGAACCTTGGGTGTCGCTGCTCTAAAACCATTCCTGGTTCCCCGCGACTTCCCTTCCCCAGTAAAAATGTGTTTTCAGTTTTGTATTTTGTTAATTTCGTATGTTATTTTTTACTGAACGGGAAAAAATAAACTTGACTATGACTATATTACTGTAGCACAGGGTGATGCAAACTCTGGCACGCAGGCCGCAGTCACATTTCGTGCTGCCCGCAGAACAATTTTTGTGTATTTTTCAGCTAATTCAACTGAGGTTGGGATCCCAAGATTTAAACCTTTTTGCTAATCCCGATTTCAGGAATAATGTTTGTTAGGATCACGGAATTTTACTGTTGTATCTATAAACGTCTAAGCGGTGGAATGACGTCCTTATCGGTACAAGGAGAATAAATTGTCTTGTGTAGACAAGACCCAGCCGATGAGAAGAGTCGTTCGTTATATACAAACTTTGCACCTTCAGCTCGGGTCAAGCAACTCCTTATTTGGAAAGACGTTTTGTGCCCTTTCTTCAGGGCAAACACTCTTTTATTTTTGGCCATGTTACAACAGTGACAAAACGTAGTGGATTAGCGACGCGCGATCCAGGTTTATTAGCTGGGTCCCGAGTTCCTAACTTAGACAGACATCGTTCTTCTTTGACAATAGCACCAGGCCAGCGATCGGCAACCTGCTGCTGCGGTATCACATGCGCTCTTTGTTCTCAGAGCTCCGGCTTCCGTGAATCAAAGGGGCTAAAGCAGTTTTTTGTTAGAAGCAGTGGGGATTCAATGAAAGTCGGGGTCACAAAGTAGATTGCTACTCACTAATAACACATCATAGCAGGTATGGGTCAAGAGCGGTAAAATAGGTCGTTTTATGGGTATTCAAATCTGTCAAAACAAACCTTTTCTTTTCCTTTCCAATTTCATTTCGCCGTAAACTCAATTGTTGCGCCATTCGTAATTTATTTGGCCTTTTCTTAAGAAATTTAATATTTCATCATAAGTGGTTATCCGAGAGTTATAATAGCCACTGACATTGGAGGAGATGTTGCGGCTCAGACTAGGTTTGAGTTTGACGAAAAGGATGCCGAATGGCTCTTTCAATGCTAAAGGTTTCCGACACGTGCCTAAGCCTTTCTCGCACTGCAAAGTATTAAATTTGTCAAATATAACAATTCAACATAAAATGAGTGTCAAAATAAAGGTGACAGAGGAAAACTGAAGAAAACGCATTTCAAGGCTCACCACAACGGTAAACCACTGTCTGGTGTGCTTTCAAGTAATATCTGTCACGAAAGAATATAATTCGATGCGACAATACAAAGCCAAATACGAGAAAAGATACGGAAAATACCACGCTACTTCTCAGAATCATTTTAAAATAACCAAAGGCTTCAAATGTCTTACCTAAAACAACGCCACCCATGCAACATAATGACAAGCTCATTCATTAGAACGGTAGACTCTCATTCTTTAACCGGTTAGCCTCCAGAATGCATTGCAGATACATAATTCAAGTTACGTGCAAACTTTATTTTTAGCTGACAAATGAACTCTATGTGCGTGCATTGAAATAAATATAAATGTTAAATTCACTTAAAAAACACGTTTATATCTCTGAAGCCGGCAAATAGTTACTCATGGCCATTTTCAACATACATGGTTTGGTTTCAAAATGTGAAAATAAAATTCAAAAATGTGAATAATAAAATATTGGAATATCAACGATACTTTTAGATGACTGATAATAGTCCTTTTTTAGAGAAAATTTATTGACGAAATTTGTCGAGGTCGACTCTCTATTGCACTTGTGATGGTCAAGTGCATTTGGCACCAAGTAGTAAATTTTGAAAATGCCGTTAGAATCGTGTTAATCGTATTTAGCAGAATAGCTTGTTAAATTTTTCACAAGCGAATAACACACAATATTTGTCAATGGTAATATTGTAGAGTTGTACAATCAAAATGAAATTAAATTTAAATTTTAATGCAAGTATACGAAAAGTGAAAATTAATCATTACTCTTACAAACTGACGTAACAGAAGGGAGAACACGCCTCCAATATTATAACAAGCATGAAATGCCAGTATGAAAAAGTTGTTTATGTAAACTACATGAAAAATACGTTTTTACTTGCTCCATGATATTCCATTTTCCGAATTTTTACATGATTTCACCGATGCCCAACTTTTCATCATTTGAATCGGTAAGCATACCACTGTTACAGACATCAAATGGCTATATTAAAAATACCTATATAAATTAGATTTTCTCCTCATGATTCAGACCATGAACTCAGACATAATTTATTTTAAAGCAATTTTTACGCCATGTTGCTGATTTATTACTTGAAATTTGCTAGATTTAAAGATGTATCAATCGGCTTGAAATATTAAAAATATATACTAGATTTTGAAGTTTTATTTCAGAATATTTGATATTCCCACATTTTGCTGATTTTTTGTCAAGTGCTAGTGGGGAATATAACAGGGATGTGGAACAGGCTGCCCGTGGGCGATTTATCGTGGTTTTGTCCCTCAGATTATCAAGCATGAAATTTGAATACCACTGTTTATGTTTAAAAGATGATCACATGGGTAAAAATACATAATATTTGACCAGGGTAGGGTAGGTAGGTCAATAAACTATGCAAAACTCGAAATTTCAAGTTTTCCACTGAAATGTTAAAGGAATGAAATTTTGCATTAAAAGGATTTTTTGTGTCTGAAGTTCGTTATATTGCCACCGACAAAAATGTCGCACACCGCAGGCCCCCTGGTTTACAAACCGTAGACCAGGGCTGGGCAATTATTTTTGGTATCGGGCCACATTGAATATTCAAAATGCAGTGGCGGGCCGGACTAAGTAGAGTCAATTGCGCGTTTTCATTGTATTTTATTACATATTTAAATACGTACTATATATAAGTAAGTATATAAATGAGTACTATATCTATTGCATATTGTTAGAATTTTTATTCAAAGCGCATTTAATAAAACTAGTTTAAAACGTAAATTTGGCGATTTTAAGACAATACATTGGATCAGAGAAACAGTACGCTTGCATAACAATGCCAAATTTTGTCATTAATGGTGGAAAGTGAGTAACAATGCGGAATTAGGACCATGCCTTCGGTGGCCAAACATCGTGATTCATATAATTTTGCTGTCATCATAGCATTTTTAAGGTGAACAAGGTTCGCGAAAATTTCAATGCATTGAACGGCGTTGCGAGCTTAAAAGTCTGCTCTAACATACCACGGCTGTCTGCGGATCTGTATACTTTATATACTATATCTATTTTTGCGATACGAATATATTTAAAATGCATTGATACAGGCACATTGAAATGTCTTGTTGTTTTCAACCTAACCCGCGGCTGCTCAGATAAAATACAAGCATTAGAATTCTGAAATACCACCGCATTCCGCGGACATTAAAATGTGAGGTAACGTGCCAGATTATTTTTATTCGTGTTTTGCAATTTTGTGAATTCGACAAATCTGTTCCTGCAACACTGACTTAGCTCTGTTTTAAGGATTTCACCATCAGAAAAATCCACATGCCTGCGATAAAAGTACACAGAGTAAAATTCTTTTTAGTTACATAAAAATCGATTGAGTTAACCTTACATTAATTATCTTATAAATCAGGCCCCGTCGATAGTTTTAGAATAGATCAAAAGGTACATCGCGCCCACGAAGGCTACGCCATTAAAATGTGTGCCGTGGGCACCAGAAATTTTTTAGTTTCCATTTTCACAAAAGCGTTTTTAATCTGTCGCGAGCCGTTTGAATCATAACTTGTTTCTGTTCCATTTTTAGTATTTTATATTGCCGCTCTAAATCTAGATTTAGGTTGCTTGCAGATTCACTCCTTTATTTATCTTTATCATCTTGTCGCCGATGGTTATATAATAACTCGTTTTTTTTTTAATGGTTCCACAGTTCCGTATACAAGACATATATATGTTAAGGAAAATTTGTGACTTGAGGAGACTAATCGCCGACGTAAAGGTGTTTACGTTGTAAAATCTAAACACACCTCGAGATGACGAAAACAATCGGCAATCATTGTCCTAACAATTATTTTGTTCGCAATCAAATTATATTTTATATGTAAATGAAAAAGAGTGTCTAAATCTAGAAACTTGCTCGCGGGCCGGATAAAACGTTGCTGCGGGCCGGATGTGGCCCGCGGGCCGCAACTTGCCCAGGCCTGCCGTAGACCAATAGCGTAGAACAAAAGTAACTATTCAAGTTTTTTCAAAACAAAGAGATGCTGAAAACAAAGAGAAGATATTGCATTACATTAACTATCATAAAACAGTTTCATATTGGCTAACTGCCATCTTGTATGGATTCCATTCTGGAGGATCGGTGATGTCCTCGTAACCATTTGATGCTTCAGCAATCGTTTCATATGTGTTGATTGACGTATTCAGTTGATGCTGTGTATCAGTAGTACCTGTTTTAATATGTATTTGCATTAAGTATTCAGATACTCAATATCTATGTTATATCCAGTGGTGGGATTCAGCCGGTTTGCTCAGGTTCTATAGAACCGTCTTACGGAATTTTATGAGATCAGCGAACCGGTTATAATGACTGGTTACTGGCAATATTCTGTTTGTGACAGAACCGATTGAAAAGTATGACTTTTGTGAAGGAATCGGCTGACAAAAAATTTGAATCCCACCACCGGTTATATCCCATTAATATCTTCTATTTTATTGCTTAATTGATAAACATTAGGGCACGATATGTGGACACGATGGCCAAACCAAATTTTTTCCCCACAATTTTCCCTAATTTATCCTAAACAAATCTGGAATTGTGGAACAGGTTCGGCAACTATCCATTGCCTGCATCCGGATATCAGGGTCCTGTGACGATAATAATTTATGCTTTCAGTCTCAACGTGAATTTTGATTTCAATTGATTCAAGTCACAAATGTTTCCACTTTCATCAAATGTTTTACAGTACAGGCGCCATAGTCTACTGTATCCTCCAAAAAACCTCCTACCTAAGAGAAGCGCGAGATCCGCTAAACTGTGATTGCAAAACCTCTACAAGTAATGGAATGGAAGTTTTGAAAAAAATTAAGTAGTAACCTCATCGCCACAACATCAATTTTCAGTCACTGAAAATTTCTAAGCAATTTTTACAGTAGTTAATGATAAAAAGATTTTTTGACTAAAATTCAAAATGACAAAACGATTCATAGGTCCACTCCGTGTATTTAATAAAGGTCCTATATTGTGGGTGTCTACATGATATTAAATTTAAATTTAACAGAATAAAGTGTTGAGAAACAAGTTATGGAATTGAGCAATTTTTCTAACATATGGGTAACATACATACATATCGTACATATTACATATCGTCATCAAAAGTTCTGTCGTACATATGAAAGATTTTGAAAGTTTTGATTTGAAACCATGCGATGTCTTTTTAAATTAATTACCTTTGTTTGTTTTATTCTTCCTAATTTTGTATACACATGATCTATATACACAAGAAACGACATCATTATAGGTATTGTCGGCATTCTTACCTTCTGATACATGTTCTATCTTTTCTTTTTTCGAAACATCCAAATAAATGCTTGAAATTGTTTCATGGACTTTCTTTTTATTATTGCGATGTCTCACGTAACATAGAGATCCAAAAGCAAACAGAATACCAAGTATTCCTCCAGCTACCACTGCTAAGATGATATCTGTATGATAAGTAAAACATAACCATAAAGTAGCCACATGGAATTTAAAGAATTGAAAGTAATTTTCAAATAAATCCTCCATCTGTAACAAATTTCTATGTATTTTGTATATTACAATACCACCTATTATGTATTTAAACAAACTTTAACAATAATATCATAACACTAAGTGGTCAAATCTAAATTACGCTCATTACGCTTATGCATGGAAATAGTTTTCTTGATCAATCTATTGTATCACCATTTGTGTTGCAATCTAATTAAGATGAGTATGTTAATATGGAATGTATAAAACAATAACATTACAAATTTACTTTGATTGTTATCCGGAACAATCTTCCTGATTGGAAGCTCATACAACGCTCAGCTCAATAAAACGTTGAATATAAAAAAAATTCGCATTGTGAGAATTATTTGATTCGTTGTGTACATTGCACAATTTTTTTTGCTTGTTTTCAAGGTTTGTGTGTCTGTGTCTAGATGTCTGAGGTTAGTCACATGGCTCGCTAGCAGAAAACTTTTTGTGTGGTGTTTGCAAGATATTCATTATAATCAGAATTTTTGAGTTCTGTGTAAAATTTTTCACTGTTGACAAAGAAACCAAAAGTTAAATTTTGTTTCTTTTTTAATCACCTGTAAAAGGTTTGCCAATCAGAAGCCCTTCACTAGCACCAAATGAAACACTTTCTCTCGTAGGTGTAGAAGTCACAAGAACTATTCTGCAACGCACAACGGTGTCATGTAGTTAGTTCAAAAATTACAAAATATATTGACTTTTTTAAAAAAATATAGTTTTAAATAGTTTTTATATGCAGCTGATATGCATATAAATTATATAAATCGTCTATATAAATCTAAGGTACATTTATATACTTTTTTCATAATTAAATAGCACTAATATCTTGCAATACAGAGGCGGTTTTCAAAAATGGCGCGTCCAACTTATCGTTCCCTTATATATAAAAATTTGAAAGAATAAAGGTAGGGAAAGTGGGACTCGGCAATTTTGTACATCCATACAGAAGCAATGAAGTGTAATATTCGAGAAACGAAAACTTTATTCTCCTACCTGTAAGTTTCAGAAAGTGACAATCTCTTGTTATGTGCAACATACGTATTTTTTGAATTAATCCCTTTACCACTGTTGTTAGTTCCGCTAATGTCACACCTTGTTTTTACTTGATCTCCAAGAATCAGACTTATTTTCGGACGGTTATGCCCAACGCTTTATAAGGAAAATATGTATTCCAGAATGCTTGGCTTATGGCGTAGCATGTTGTATATACATATGCATGATTCTGTTTACTAAAAAATATTTTCACTAGTTTTAGTCTTGATAAATGTAATTAATAAAAAAATTATTTAGTCCAATATATTTGATCAAATTGTATATAAAACAAACCCACTAGAAGGGTTGTGTTCAGAGTTTTGCAGGATATAATATCAAACTGGCAATATTTGTAATTGTTATGTTACGCCTACATACACCTAATTAACACAAATTCGAAATTGCAAATCAGGAAGAATATATGTTTTGTCAACATCCCACAAAATAATTTTTCATAATCCTAACATAATGTTCTATCTTGAGGAACACGTTTATACGTGAATCATACCTGGTTCTGTTCAAAGCTATTGCAATGTATTCATCTTCGATTTCTGAATTATTCAGTTTACTCATTCGTGCATTGTTAAAACCAGCACTAGTGTTGCTTGTTTTGTTCACTTGTACGATGATAAAGTAACAACTAATAGTGAATAATAACATGGTGATCAAAAAACGAAAACATTAGTAGCGTTTATGGATATTTGTTACTATCTTTGAAATGTATTACATTGAAGAATTACTATTTTTTGTTTATTTTCTCTGCCAAATATTTTGAGTCTGATGATTGATATAATATGGATTGGGGTTACCGTGATCTCGTAACTAACATTTCCAATCCCGTATGGCAGCGTAATTCGCGAAAAGACAAACTTAAAAAACATCGCCAGACATTTCATTTGACCTATTGCAGCATCAATTTTTATCCCCTTTCGGGCCACTAAAACAACTTTTTACTTTGGCGAGAGACATCAATTATATAATCAAATCACCTTATAGGACCATTAGTTTCATCTGGAACGTGAATTGAAAATTCCAATATTCCAGAATTAGTTATTTCACTTCTGGTTGAAGGTGCTTGAATGTTGGATGGTGCTGAAAATTACAAACAAAGTAAAATTTTTATCAATTATTCATAAGAAAATGAACAAATCCGTTATGCGTTCAAATGAAGCTATAATGTACTGGGCCACTTGAGTGTGGTATTTGTAGAACGTAATCTGAATTTTTATAAAATCGAACCTGACCCGCAATTGCAAGTAAAATCTTAGCGGTATTTTAAAAAAGATTTATATTTAACTAAATAATTTTTATAGGATTATCTTGTAAACACAGGACTTCAGAGTTTATGATGTATAATGTTGATAATTGGGAATAATTTTTATTTGTGCAAAAAAAAAAAATTACAAGAGTCTAAAACGAATTGGAAGAAAGACTTAAAATTAAATTTGAATAACCATTGGTATCGGTAGCACATTTTCCAACAGCCTTTGACTCTGTTCCAAATCCTGCACAAGTTCTAGCTTGGATAGAGACATTGTATTTTCTATTGAAATTTTTTGGAAGAACATATGAGGTTATATGAGATGATAGAAGCATATTATTCATTTTGACATCATCTTTATAGTATGGGGATACTATGGCTTTTGTTGAGTTGACAACGAGCTGAAATGGAATGAATAGTTTTTGGGTATAAATATGTTTACAATTAACGAAATTATATTATGTATTTTTAGCGTCTAATTTTAATATATAGTTTTCAAGATAGAGTTCAATTTCGAAGAGCTTTAACAATTAAACCAACTTGAACCACAACAAATTCTGAATCGACTGAAACAATTAAGGTTTTTATATCACATGGTAGTATCAAAACAGAAAGTGATTAAAATCGGCTTGTCATATACGCTCATTCACGCATTAGTATTCCAATATTAAACTATGCAATTCGTCCTGTCATATAATGAGCCTCAAGTCAAATTAAACAGTAAAAAGAATACAAACCTTGTAATCGGATATATAATCCGGATTCATTACTGTTGACCAAGATACATTGCAAGAACCGTCATAAGTCATCCTCAGACTTTGTTTCGAAACACGACCGGGGAGACCTCCAGTGGTTTCATGTGTGGTTGTTGCATAATGGCTGAAGCAAGTTGGCGGGGTTGTTAAGCATGGCTCAATCTATAATGAAATATTTTTTCAAATTTTTACTTTATATACGGCTATAGGCGTTTGCACAAGAGAGATTTGTGCTCATTGAATTTTTATAATTTATATATTCCTCCATGGAAATTACCTTAATAATATATGATGTTGACGGTTGAAGATCTGCCACATTGGATCTGATAGAGACATTATTCGGCGTTGTAAATGAATCTCTATAATTGCTGCTGTTAAGAGTATCCACAATCCAAAATCTATGACATATATTTTTGAACTGTTTATGAAATAGCAATGAGGAAGATAATGAATGAAAAAAACAAAACTAAACCTAGTAAACACTAGGATACCAAAATAATGGTATAAAATTTCAAAGAAAAACCGATCAGCTGAATTTAGTATTTTTTTTTTTAGTATGTAATGAGTCCTTTTTTGTATTATGATGTTTGTAGTGGTTATCCTTGAAGAAATTATAAAAGGTACGGTAAATAAGTTTAGACGCAATGGCATTTTAAAGAAAACCCGATTAGTTGAATTTAATATTTTAATTATTAGTACGTAATAAATACTTTTTGATATTATAGTGTTTGTCGTAATTATCGTTGTAGTAATTATTCGAAGCACGGTAAATTAATTTAGCCGCAAACTTTGTATATAGCATGTATGCCACGTTAATTAAAGCATCATCAGCTTCAGTCAGATTCTTTTGTTTTCATTATTTTTTTGTAAGTTTACTTCTGGGTTCCATTGGGCCCTATTTTGTAGCAAGATATTAACATCGGATTGAGAGTGATCAGTCATATTTAGTTAGATACCTGTGTTTAATTCCAAGTCCACGAACATGTGGTTTCCAAGTGATCAATAAATTGGAATTGCAAGGTGACGAAGTTATGTTGGTGATTGATGGTTGACTTGGAACTGAAAATATATTTAAACTTGTTTGTGTATATTTACCAGAACTGTTATACGTTTGTATATCCTTCGACACATATCAACATTAAATATTACGTTGTGAAAAGATAGTCGAGCAATAATGAATTTTGTAGTTGTTAATCCTGCTCATTAAAGCCAATTTATTTTTTGTTATAAAATTGTATTTATATTCGAATGCATTTTATGCGATACCTCATCGCTAATCTCACCTTGTATATTAAGGATACCTGAAGCCGAATGAGGAATTTGTCCAACTGTATTTGATGCGAAACATTTGTATTGTCCTTCGTCTGCAATTGTCAATTGTTTCAGATCCAAAACAAATTTTTGTCCAACTGTAGCTTGGTTATTTATTGATGTTGAATGAAGTGTAGTTTTTTGTTTCATCCACTTAAAAGTCGGTGGTGGAAATCCAGATACCATGCACGTTATTTCTTTTTTGCCAGTATGTGAAGTTACAATGAAGTTAGTTTGTGATAACTGCATATCGTGCGGTCCAGCTGAAAATTTATATAGATGATACATTTATATATTTCAAATATTTAAATAAGACTCCGTGAAAAGCTACAAGATGGAGTAAACTGCTAATTTAATGTAACAAATTTAATCTGCAATAATGCTTGATTAAAGTTTCAATAATTTGTTCTATTTTACCTTGTTCGCAAATGTAGTAATGCTTGTCAGTACAATAGGTGGTTCTTGATGTGTAATCACTTAATGAAAATGAATAGCAAGTAGAACCTGTGTTTTCTAACCAGAGTTTATCATCAGGTCTAAAATGACTAAAAATAATAAATTTACAAAATTAAATATGTTTTGTTTCATTTTGCCTAAAATTCATTTTCGATATTTACTAACTTAGAGTTCAGATAGGTCTTGATCAGACCTTTCGTTGTCGATGTCAATTTCAAAATTCGAGATTGGAGTTTATAGCATTCTGTTCGAGCTGTTTCATAAGTAACCTTGCATAAGTAACCTAAGCAGTCAGTCTGTATATTCCCGAAGAAATTGTAAAGGGAATCGCTAAATTGAAACAGTATAAAAATGTGGGCAAGAATGGTTGTTGGTTGGTGTTTCGGTTTATAAAAAACACAAAACGTTCTATAGAGTTCACTTTGAACTCCTCACTTTTTTCGAACGCGTGGGTTTATTTTACACCTCGATAACTACTGTGTCAAAATGAATTTACGCAAAAATAAGCCGAACCTTTTGTTTCCATAAATTATTCCAAAAATTTTTGGGCGTATGGGGATTATATGAAAGATTATGTAATTATTTAATCACAAATATTATTATAAGCAATATATTCTACAAAGATATGTAAGTTCAATTTACCCCTGCCATTCATTATATCGAGTTTTAATATGAAACCAAACTACATTCTTACCAATACTAATGCTGGTACAATGAAGATAATGGGAATGCCAGGCAACATAATAGTAATTAGAAACTATTCATAAGTTATGAAATTTCATTTGGCAACAATTTCATAGAAACATAAATATTCAAAGAGTTTCATTCAAATATTGCTCTCGTGACTGGATGGTAGACTTTTTTAATTTAAGTATTTTGGTAAAAATAATCAGATTGTGAAAACCAATTAACCATTGGGAAAAGTGCCATTGCATAATGCATACACCTTAATGTTACATATTATAACTATAAATACAAAAAAGGGTAAAAATCATAATTTCCAATACCTGCACTAGATGTTGCAAGGAATGTTAACAGAACCAACCAGCATTTGCAACCGGGCATCTTGAATGCGTCAAATAGCCATCATTAAGAACAATACGTCATATCTGTAATGAATTTTTCAAAATAGAAGTCACTCTATATATTTTATATTTGCTATTTACATTGGATCTTGATATCTTCATTAGCAAAACTTGACTACAGTATAATTATTATACGCTGCGACTACTTATAATACTAAACTCTAAATATCCCTCTTATTATGTATATGCTTCACACCCCACGCAACTGATTTGCCAACCCTAAGGTATTCCTTGCGAAGTATGCACATTACTGCGTGAGTGTACGTAGATTTACTTCAATAATAGCTACTTCAATCATAACATTATTATGATCAATATAACGAGTTAGATGTATACTGTATATGATATTTGAATGGCCAAATGGTGGAGCATCGTGTTTTGTAATATTTACGTTGCACTAGTAATTACACTTATTAGGAGATTTTAGTCAATTTAATATAATATCATTTATCATTTTTCAACATTTAAAATTCATATTTGTTCAATTATTTGATTGCAATAAATTTGTTTCTAACTTCATGCTTTACTGTAATCCTAGGGTGCAATGATAAGGTAAAAAGTACTGCAAGGGGGATATGGTACAAAAAGTTTGAGAACCACTACCTAGGAGACAATATTAAATATACACGCATTCTTCGTTTATAGCTTATAAAACAACCATCACGACACCCGACATTCCATAGGAAATTTAATATAGATATCTCACTGGATGACTTGAAATCAATATAATAGTGGATAATATAACCATTGACGACATCTAAGAACAACCACGTTTATATGCCTGGAGGATTCGACTATTTACTCATGCCTTATGGCAATGTTCATATGCAGGGTCTGTTTATAATTTCGATAAGTTGAAATGTAGGAATATGGTATTTATTCCAACACTTATAGATGACTTAAAATAGTCATTTGTTTAGTAATTTCTATGACAACATTCGTGATCTCGACCATCCAGTGACAGTGAAATTTTTCGACTCTCCATTTTGGGAAATACCAAATATTCTGAAATAAAGTATAAAAACATAGTGTTTTATTAACATTAAAAGATAACTCATACACTTTCGAATTTAGCTATTTTAAGTATAAATTGTTTTATAATAAATATGTAAAAAATGAGTGTGTTCAAATTCTGTTGAGAGGCACAAGCGTGCAATGACAATTTTTTAAATAGCCATTTAAGGTTTGGAACATTTGTATAGTCAACGACTCAAATGATGAAAACGTCAGCAGCTGAACATTCATTTGATCGTGTGAATGTTGGCAAAATTCAACTTTACTGAGTAAAAATATATTTCTTATGTCAGTTACAATTACAACGATTCTTGCAAGCGTTTCATGTATGCAGTTATATTGCAGATTTGTTTCCTGGCTTTTATGATATAGATTCGATCGTAAGTTTTTGTATATTTGCTTTATGATTTAAATTAAATTTCATCATTAATTACTTGAAACTGTTCCATTTTATTGAGCAACTTTACAATATATCGATATTGACAAATGTTGTGTGTTTACTGAGATCCGATTGAAGGGATGAAGAATTGAACAGTTGAACATGTGAACATGGACAAAAATATTTTGAGAGCAAATCTATTTCCTATGTTAGATACAACTTTCATGCACGCGTTTTATTGCATGCGATAAAATTAAAGACGTGTTCCCTGTTTTTTAAAAATAATTTTTAATGAGTGCTGATATGATTTTTACCTCGCATACTTGCATCAACACTTAATTAAAACTTAACTTTAATTACATTATCTGTTGAGTGAAACTATTCAAATTTGTTGTGCAACTTACAATATATAGGCACTGGCAGATATTATGTGTCTAAGGAACTCTGAAGAATGTAAAGTCGGAAATATTCCGCTGAATACCTTTAAATAGTACGGTGATAACAACACGCAAAAGAGGGCCATATCTTCCCTACAATGAACTACTGAGTAGTTTAGCAAATTCAAGGTGATGTTGGAAATTTTCCTATCAATGATGAAAACAATGATTTGTAGAATATTATAAAGTTTCGAATCGACCTTGTCAAAATGAATTCTTGACACACGCGAACACCCAACATAAAACCTTTGAGAATATCTTGTGGGGCTTGGTGGCTTTATTTTTTGGAGTGGCTTCATTTTTTATTTTTTGGATTTGCAAAATTTTGTTCTGATGCTTATAAATGACGAAATAATAACACAATCGATGATTTGCATAAACTAAAAGTCCTAATATTCATAGTATCTCTCACTTGTAAGTTTGAATATTTACTAATCTTTTATTGTATGACTTTCAATTTTGCCGATTTTTGTAGGAAAATCGCGACATTGTAGCTTCATTTCAGAATTATATTAGTCTCCAAGATTGCCTTTCAAATAATATAAAACAATATAAAAATAAAATATAATATAAGGTTCACGATATATGAGATTTCAAAGTTGTATAACTCATACGGGATGCCAAAGCCGGAAAACTTACAGGGTCAGAAGACGTTCTCGGGAAAGCCGGAATACCGGCTTTAGTTAAATATATATTTTCAGTTCCAAGTCAACCATCAATTACGAAAATTACTTCTCCACCCTGCAATTCCAATTTATTGATCACTTGAAAGCCACATGTTCGTGGAGTTGGAATTGAACACAGCATATCTTTCTTTCAAGTTGTTAATATCTTGTCACAAAATACGAGCTTATGTTCACGTAAGCCAGAAGGAAACACTTCACGTAAACTCATAATCATGGAATATGCATTATGTTTTAATTAACTTGACATTTTATATACTAAATTGTATTTGCGGCTTTCAAAATGAACTAATTTTCAGTGATTTGAATAAGTACTAAAACGATAATTACTAAGAACATCAAAATAGTAAAAATGAAATACTAAATACTCACTACATGCTAATAATTGAAAGGAATAATTTAATCAATCGGTTTTTATACCACTATTTTTGTATCGTCGTGTTTATTAGGTTATTGTTTTCCGTTGGTTGTACGTTGTATCTGATAGGTATCTGTCTGTTTGTCTGTTAGACCGTAAAGGTTAGAAACTTTCGTATGTTACGCGATATCTCACGAAAGCGAGGTTGAATCTGCACCAAATTTTGCATGTGCATTCATCATATCATGTCGTATAATTAGCAAATTATGAATTAATTAGTGATGTGACACGTGGTGTCGCTATTGAGTCAGAGCAAAAAATCGAAACCCCAAACTGAACATGCGGTAGACCGATAAGTCGGGGGTCTCTGATCGCTATCTCGTTATTATCATCATTATGTTGTTGTTCTTATTCCTGTTGGTGTTCATTTCTACTTTTTCCTATGAATAGATCGCCTTTGTCTTTTAATTACTGCACCAATTGTTTTGAAACTTTCAGTGTTTGAAGGCCAATCTATTTAATTATTTCAAAAATTTCTGTAGGCCATATATGGGATTCGTTTTTCGTGTTGCATGACGTCATGAAAAAGTAAGCGACTCGTGGCGGTTCTGGGTTGGTGTGGGTTAGTCACGAGGATTGCCTTACCGGTAGTCTACTGCGACAGATTGCATACCCGTACTACTTCGCTTAGACTTTCGTGTCCATATACTTGAGCATCGTCTCTTGTTTTACAAACATTGAATACCGTTTTATTATAGCTTCCGGATTATGGATCTTATCAACAGTAGCAACTATAAAGTTTACTTCACAACACCAAAAAATGCCTCCATCAGGTTCAATGTCGTAGGTCTTCAACCTGCAACATCTTATATTAATAAGGTAATTTCTAGGGCACAATATGTGGCTTTGCTAATTTCATTAGACACCAATCACTCTGCTGCGGACACCTGTTGCAATAACTTAATTAAAAACTTGAAAAATGTCAATTTGTCCCTTCAAATTGCTTCAGCAATTATGCAACAACCACAAATGCAACCACTGGAGGTCTATCTGGCCCTGTTACAAAACCAAGCATGGAGATGACTTTTTCCGGTTCGTGCAATGTATCGTGGCAGCAGTAATGAATCCGGAATATATATCCGGTGTCACGGTTTGTATACTGTCTACTGTGAGCGTTTGAAACGTATTCGAACGTGAATACAATCACAAGACAATTCGTCCAAGTTGTTTCATTTCAGTATAATTGTATCAGAATATACAATATATTGAACTCTATATTTAGGATTTGGTAGAAACAAATGAGCCTGAAAGTTCTTTCTTATTGTAATATATTCGTAAGAATAAGATAGCAATTTTTTTCAACGAATGCTCCAAAACTTATCAATCAACATGTTGTTATACACTATTAGTTGTTACTTTATCGTCGTTCAACGAGAAATCGAGAAAAGTAAAACATTGCTTGATTTCAACTATGCACGTATAATTAATCTGAATAATTCAGAAGTTCAATATATTGCAATAGCTTTAAACAGAACCAGGTATGATTCAGACATAAACTTTTGCAAAAGAATATGATAATTATGTTCGAATTATGTATATATATATTCATTGTGTGGAATATGGCTTCTGTTGCCAAAACATATAATCTGATCTGCTGCTTCTTTTTTGTATGAAGATGGCGTCAGTAGGCGTACAAAACAATAACACAATAATGATAGTTTGGTATCATATTCTACAGAAATTAAAAGCAAAAATTCTGGGTGGGTTTGTTTTATATACAATATGATGAAATGCATTTGGCTAAATGCATCGTATAAGATAATTCGAAAAATACGTATGTTGCGTTTATCAAGAAATTGTTATTTGCTGTAACTTACATGTACGAGAATTCTGAAATACTACAATCTGCGTACATAAAAATACAAGGTATATCGCTCGATTATACATAGAGTTGATTCGAAATTTTGCGATTTTGGTAATTTGATAAATTTGAGCCGCTGAGGACTATTTTAAAGATACCGCCGTTAGCGAAATCTCAAGGTCGGCGACAAAATCCTATGCGTACAATTTACTACGATAAAGTCAAAGCATTACTACTACGAAATACTACAGCAAAATACAAAATACGTAGCTTATATTAAGATTTGATTCGTTTTTTGCAATCTTAGGAATTTTGACAAACTTGAGCTGTTCTTGCAACACTATTACTTATTATTATTTGTAAGATATGGCCGTTAGAAAAATACCAAGCACGGCGATAAATTTCCAAATATTAAAATTTATATTAGTAAGATAAAAAAATTATTAAAAATATTTTATTTACATTGAAAAATCATATCATTATCATAATCTGGAAAAGGAGTCGAGTGCGATCTGGCGGAAATTTAATTAGATGTGGATAATGGAATGTATCAACTTCAGTGACTAGGATATATAGTTTCCGAACAAAAATTCAAGAATTTTTTCGATTTACCACGTCTAAAATAAAGTTGTTAATCTGTCGCGGTACCCTTGAGTCAAATCTTATAGCATTTTCCGTTATATTTTACACACTGCTATATGTATATATATATATATAGTAAGACACCGCTTTTTATTCCTAATATTCACTTTCTTACCTTAAGTTGTATTTAGCGTTGTCTCAGATGATCGTATAACAACGAGTTTTTCACGCCTAACGACGAGAAAAAATGATTTATCAACGTCCTCAAACCATGTTTATAGGAATACTTATGGAAAGAGAGAAATCGCGGAAATATAGTTTATCAGCATAATAACGTTGTTCATGACGTAAAAACCAAGTCATGCTGAAAAAAAAGATCGGCGATTATGACCAAATTTGATATTTCGAGAATGCGCGATCGCCGCGTGTGCTTGTTGGTTCCTTCGTATTTTTCGCCCCTGTTTTTCGCTTTGGCCCCCGGGGGCAATATCGCCCACTTTGAAAAACACTGTCCACGAGAATAAGTTAGAGGCAAGTTAGCGTTGTCAGCTTTACCAGTCGAATATTGTTTTTCAAGAAAGTCGGAACCGTAACGATGAATTTATAAACTCTTCTCGACATCGAGTGGTATTTCCGAAATAAAGCCCTATCCATGCAGCCATATTAAAGCGCAGCCACTTATCTGTAGGCAATGTTTATATTATTTTAGTAAAATCAAGCCTTTTGCATTGAAATGAAAATTAGTTAGTTTGGAACAATTATAGTATGTGCATATTCCCGGATTTAAAAGAGATTTGAGCGCATGATTTTCATATGCACCTGTATATTATTACCGATTTAGTCCAGATAAAAAAAAAATGCAATACTATTCTATAACACTCAAAACCTGATTAATCTCCATGTTTGCAATTTTCCGCTTTAAAAATTTACAAAAGTTTATAGGAATAACTTTGCTTTTATGGGAAATTTCATATAGGAATAACAATGCTTTTATCAATTCCACCAGTAGGGATTTGTTCAAAAGCAATTATTTTAAAACAATTGTTTTAAATCAAGTTTTTTTGCCTGTTTCGTTTAAAATGGCTGTACTATTTGATTTTTTTGTATTAAATAGGTTGAAGAAAAATGAATGTAATAACTTGCCAAGCGCTTCTTATTTACAATAAATCTTTTAAAACGCTTCAAATATCGATATAGAGGCTCACGCACACCTTCTCAAGCTGTAGTTCAGTAGTTGGCGCAGTAAGACGCAGCCGATAAGCCATTACGTGAACGACCCTGCTGCGATGAAACCACCTTGAGAAAATTGAAATGCGATCGAATGAATCAGTTTGTATAACCTTGAAAAACTCACTTCAACCTTAAAAAACAGAGTATGCTAAGCATAAATTAACCGAACAGTATTAACCGTAACAATGACTTGGTTTTATGAGAAAAATGTCAAAACAAGACCTCGAAATCCATATTATGGGTCATAACAGATTTGTTGTGGCGTCTTTGCATCAGAGGACTTACAATTAACATTGGCTAGGTTAGGATGTCTCATCGTTCATATCAGTAGATTACCGCCGATAAAAGCATATTATTCTTCATTATCGCAAGCCACTCGTTTTGCCGAAGGGCTGCACTTGATCGAATAATTGCTTTTGTAGTAGGCTCGTGATTTTTCTTACTCAAAACGTCCCCTCTGATATCTCGGCTAAACATTCCGGGTAAAATCTTATGACTTTGGTGGAGATATAAAGTGGCGATAAATATACACAATAGTGGTAAAAGTCGAAATAAAAAATTTTACTTACATTTTTGAAATTATAATTCCGGCTACGTGTGCCCTATCCATAGGCCTGATAAGAGCGCTTTCATCGCGGTGTATTTAAATAATATTTTTGAAATGGCACTTAATTTTAAATTTGAAGTTATCAATGCATTTTATCAATAATATGTTTGACTATGTTTATGAAAAAATCACAAAACGATTTCAATAAATTTAGCTATGTAGTATGCACTCTATGCTACCCCTACTGCGTCTACCAAACGGTATTTTCTTTCCATGAATATTGAATGTCCAAAAATAATAAATGATATTTTTTTACATTAACTCGAATTTCCTAATAAGTGTAATTACTAGTGCACCGTGAATATTACAACACGAAACTCAACCATTTGGCAATTCAAATATCATATATATAAGTTGTTATATTAATCATGATAATGTTATGATTGAAGTAACTGTTATTGAAGTAAATCTACGTACACTCACGCAGTAATGTGTATACTTAGCAAGGAATACCTCAGTGTTGTCAAATCCGTTGCGTGGGGTATGAAACATATACGTATAATGAGGGATATTTAGTGTTCAGTATTATATGTAGTCGCAGCGTAAAATTATATTGTGGTCAAGTTTTGCTAATGCAGATATCAGGTTCTAATGGTTATAGCAAATATAAATGATATAGTATAGAGTGACTTTCATTTTGAAACATTTATTACAGATATGACGTATTGTTCTTAATAATGGCTATTTGACGCAAGTAAGATGATTGGATGTGCGTGCTGGTTGGTTCTGTTAACATTCCTTGCAACATCTAGTGCAGGTATTGAAAATTATGAATTTTACCTTTTTTATATATATTGTTATAATATGTAACAATAAGTTGTATGCATTATGCAATGTCACATTTTACTAAGTATTCAGTAAATCATGTTCAAATACAACTGACATGTTATACTTTTGTATTTGTTGTTTTGCTTTAGGTAGTAACATAACCATTTTTGCAATTTGGTTTATGAAGTAATTATTTTCGGTATCATCTCACCTGAGATACGCAGCGTCCAAAGTTCTCGTTATCATTTCCGAAAACTTATAAATTCCGTGATTCACAGATATAGTTTGTGATGGATGATTGTTATTTTTAGGTATTTGGAAGACAGTAAACCGACCATTTTATAAACTCACTTTTTACAACACTGCGTATTCCTGGTCAGAGGCAAAATCCTTGTGTGGAAGCCGATCAAGTCTCGTTCAACTTGATGTTAGCTCTGTAAAAAATGACGTTCTTAACACAATCAGGTGGTGATGAATTATTTAATGTTTACTCTTATCTTCGTTTGCTTTAACAGCGTTAGTAAAGTTTGGTATTATTCCTACCGATCATTCTGAGGTCATTTTGTAGAGTCCCTTCCAAATTTATTTTCTCATTATGGCTTTTCAAATGAGAATGCTAGAGCTCTAGTCCGCGAGATGTCGGTAGAGCGCGCTTCCTCAAATATCACTTTGGATGTGCGACCGACCTAATGCCTCAAAATTTGTAGAAAATAACTTTAAAATTAAGTGTTATCGTATCTAGTAGTTAAATATTATTAAATAGTTTTAGTTATATCGTTTTCTTGTGTTGTTTTCCAACAAAACAACACCACATTCATTATTTTAGCTGAAATCGTTACCGAAGAAATTTTTGGTTGTAAATAATCCATGGCAATTTTTCAAAGCTCTGACTCAACATTTTTAAATCGATGCTATTTACATTTTGGATAGTTCCTGACGATGCTAAAGCTTTTCATTGTGTATCTTCACTGAAGACGTTTGCAGATAAGACGTTGACATATGAGATATTAACTCTTTTTGACCATTCAAATTAGAATCCCCTATTACTGTACACATAACTATACTCCCGGCAAAATAGGGAATTTATGAATCAGCTTCCTGTGGTGACTTTGTCAAGTCTATAATATAATATACAAAAGAGCGATGCTCAATTATATGAAAATGGAGTTGTACGGAAATAGACAAAAGTAATAGCCTTCTAGCGAAAAAATACAATCTTTAACCACTGAAAATTGATCCAATAGTAATAGTTGGTATTTGTAAAATGCTTTTCTGAAGAAGTCTGACCTCGGTCAGACGAAACGTTACAGAAATATATTTGTGTAAGTGTGCAGCAAGACTCTTGAATTAAATAAAATACCCACTCTTGACTTGCTATAGCATCCTTTCGTTACACGCATGCGGAATCACCTGCGCATAGGCATAAATAAAGGAAAGAAAGTTAGTATCATGTAACCCCAACTAGAGCAGGGGTGGGCAAATTACGGCCCGCGGGCCGGATCCGACCCACTTTAGTGTTTTATCCGGCCCACTTGTTCGTGCTGAAATTAGGATATAGTTTTCATGCATAAAAATTATCGTTGAAGAGATCGGAGAATGAACAAATCGTAAATCTTGTAATTCCACACGTACTATCAGCCGTGAATATAAACATAAAACCATCTGAATAATTTCTGTACAATAATTCAAAAACGCCAGCTCCTGACATATCAGCATTTTGGTCTGCATATTAATAATATATCACAAAATATATTGCAGAACATCATAAATTTCGTTTTCAAAGCTCTATTTTTGACCTGGTGAATCCCAAAAATTTCGTTATTTTTCATCGGATCGGAAACTATAGCAAATTCCAGCGGTTCTCAAATATGTGTTTGTGCTGCGCCATATCGCTGCAATGTTTCAAAGTTGCAATGCTTTTACTTTATCGTAATGAATTGTACTCGTGGGATTTTATGAGCGACCTTGGAATTTTGCAAATGGTGATTTCTTAAAAATAATCTCAAGTGGCTCAAATTAATCAAATGACCAAGATCGCTCCTTTTCTTAATATATAATTGAATCAATTATATTATATATTAAATTGATATGGCAAAACATTTTTAATTCTCGTAATAGTCTTGAACTGAATATTTTGCGCAACAGAAAAACCATCAACGGTGGAAAATTCGGCAATTTCAACAAATGGGTAATCACGACGACTGTTGCCATTGGAATTTCCGCTTCCTATTTTTGATACAAAATAAAATCAATCAAATAACATTTGCCTCCTAAATCCCAAGTTACAGTAATTATGTTCGTAAACAATAGGAATGCGCATCATTTATTCTCTTTGATTTGAATAATCTATTTATCAAATACGGTCACAATGACCGCAATTGTTACATTGTGCTATCTTTATTATTAACGTTATCCTAGCCCATTAGCCCAACTGTTAAGCCTATTTTTTCTATCAACTTTCTTTACGCTGCTGCCGTAATTTGCCAGCCCCTGTAATAACGGCCCATTGATCATTGTGTCTAGGACTCTAGGTAACTAGAGAAACTTAAGTAAAGATATTTTCATATTTGATTTATTGTCATCAATCTGTAAAGGATATTCTCGTCTAAAATCTTTTGAAATTAATACAAAATAATGTTATGACAATTTTTTCGTTTGTAATAATGTATACTTTTTATTATGAACGGCGTTTTATTATCAATGGGTTTCAATGACATATATATAATATTGAAATTCAATATGTTGTAGCTCTGGATCCACTTTTTATTGGATTGGAGCAACAGATGAAACCAACGAAGGGCATTGGAAATGGATGGATAGATCGTCAGCATTGATTACTTGTTGGTAAATACTTTTTATTTCATAAATACTCACTATTACTAATATATTGTCAAGCTAATAACCAAATTGCGTAAGTCATTTTAGCAGTTTTGTGAAATGCGTGAAAAATATCCTAATGCTATTGTGACATATGACATTGAGACTGAATAATTTCCCATGGTTAAATTTTTTTTAGTCGTAGCCGAATTTACATCAATTTGTATGACGCATGCATGTGACGTCATAATAGCACACTGTGACAGAAATGTGCCTATGACTTGGGGAAATAAGCAACATCAGTCCTGAAAACCTAACATTCGAATAACGTATGGAATTTACAGTATCTACAATGTCTAATCCTAAAACAGCGCATCTTTAGGAATATTATTTTTTAATATACCGCTATACGCCATATATTATCAATACAACGCGTTCTGCACACCACCGAAAATAATTCTCCATAAATATTAAAACTAAAATAGCGATGCATCTCAAATAAAAGACAAACAACATGAATTGGTAAATTCAAATGTATTAACTAGAATTCCAATTTATAAGCTAGAATCTACCACGCAAAAACTCAAAATTCCTCCACCGATTTTATTTTGACTTTGTGACCATAACTATAACAATGGCAATAATGTGCATGTCACCTAAATTTCGATTTTTATGCGTTTCGGAATCCTTGGTATAAAATCTGAATCGACTGACAGGTGAGCACATCCCTCGTTCATAGTTAGAAAACACCTATTTGTTAATGGCATTCACGCAAGAATATTAATTTTTACGAAAGTTCTATTCAAAAATTAATATAAATAATACTTCACTTTGTTATTGCACGTTTTGATACTTTGTAGGAATTCAGGAGAACCAAATGGGAGAAGAAGTGAAAATTATCTCGTCATTGACAAGAACGGAAAATGTTATGATCATGGAACAAACTACCACACAGGAGTTATATGCATGGAAAGTCAGTAAACCAATCATATATATATATGAAAGTTTTACCAACCACTTTCGTTTCCCTCTTGTTTAGTTTGCAAATAAACCCGGAATATTCTCAATAATTTCATTGGAGTATTCATCCCATCAAGAATTTTATTTTTCCGTAGTCAATGGTCAATTGGTTTCATATTCTTATTATTTTCACCAAAATACTTAATTTAAAAAAGTCTAACATCTAGACATAAGAGCACTTTGAATGAAACTCTTTAAATATTTATGTTTCTATGAACTTATTGCCAAATGCAACTCCACAACTTATGAATAGTTTATAATTAATCTTATGTTGCCCGGCATTCTCATTAACTTCATTGTATGGATATAAGCATTAGTATTACTATGAATGTAGTTTGATTTTTTGTTAAAGCTTGGTATACAGAATAACAGAGTTAAATTAAACTTAAATATGTTTTTAGAATATAATGTTTATAGTTATGATTGTGTTTAAATAATTACATGATCTTTCATATAATACATTATTATATATTCATTATAAGCCTATAAATTTTTGATAAAACAAAATAATTTATGAAATCAAAAAATTTGGCTTATTTTTGCGTGAATTTAATTTGACACAGTTGTTATCGAGGTGTAAAATAAAACTACGCGTTCGAAAAAATTAATGAGTCTAAAGCTCAACTTTATAGAACGTTTTGTTTTTTTGATAAACCAAAACATGAACAAAATAATAAACATTTGCACAAAATAATTAGCCTAAACTCTATAGAACGTGTTGTGTTTTTTATAAACCAAAACATAAACCAACAACCATGGTTGCCTACATTTTTATCCTGTTTCGATTTAGCGATTCCCTTTACAATTTCTTCGGGAATATACAGACTGAATGCAATTGGAAATCCTCCCCCTAAAGTTACCTATGAAACAGCTCGAACAGGATGCGCAACAATTAAATCTAGAATTTTGAAACTGACATGGACAACAAAAGCTCTGTTAAAGACCTATTTGAATTCCAAGTTAGTGAATATTGAAAGTGAATATTGGGATAAATGAAACAGAACATATTTAATTTTGTAAATTTATGATTTTCAGACTTGATGATAAATTCTGGTTAGAAAACAAAGGTTCTTCTTGCTATTCATTTTCATTGAGTGATTACACATCAAGAACCACACAGTGTACTGACAAGCATTACTACATTTGCGAACAAAGTAAAATAAAACGAAGGTTTTTTCAAGTTCATATTTTGAATGAAAATCTTTTACTCCTAAATGTTCTAATCCAGGGATCACCAAACTACGGCTCGCTGCGTCCTTTCATCTGGCCCGCAATAACGTAAACAAAGTTTTTTCCGAGTTTTTTTTCCAAGAGATGTTTCCAGAGCATCGACTTCCTTGTTTAGTTCGTAACATTGTCCAATTTGCAAGATGCAAAAGTGACGTAACAATAAACCTTTTCGCATCCACTGAGACAGATTTCCAGTCGTAGTAATAAACAAAATCTCGTTTTTTGCGATTTTGAATAAAATTCGATAGTTTTTTATTATTTTTTTGGAAACTTAAGTATTAATCATATAAGTCAATCATCATTTTGCTCCTTGGTAGTTTTAATTTAATTGCAGTAATCCAAAATTGTTCTAGGAATAGCTAAATATATAATAGGCTAAAATTATCTATCAGGAAGTAACATTTTCTGCGAAAGATGCACTGTTGACGCGTGCTTCCGGCAAAACTGTTATTATGTACGTTTCTTGCGCTAAAATGAACGTCGAGCATGCATTTTGCGCTAGTAGGACTGTAATCTCCAATTTCACAAGTCATATTAACTTTTGTACTGCTTACATGCGGCTATGCAGCAATGTTGATATTCAAGTCATTAAGAAATGTAGAATTTATATTGTTGAATAAATTGAATTGATTTTCCAACTTTTGAGAATCTATTGTATTGCATTGACAAAAATATTTTCAGCTCGTTTCAACACAGCTTGAGTCATACCTGGCCCACGGTCAAAAAAGTTTGGTGATCCCTGCTCTAATCCAATGGAGCTTGTTTTCTGAAAACGATATAAATTCAAGAAATATATTCAAATATACAAAAAATTTATTTTGTAAACTTCTTCTTATTTCGAAAACTACTGTATGAAACACTAAATCTCAGTTCATCCTACTATGTATACGTCATTCTTGAAAATTTCCAGCTGGACCACATGATATGCAATTATCAACAACTAACTTCATTGTTACTTCATATACTGGCACAAGAGAAATAACATGCATAGCATCTGGGTTTCCATCCCCGACTGTTAAATGGATGAAAGGAAACATTGTGCTTACTTCAACACCATTAAACTATCAATCTAAAATAGGACAGAAATTAGTTTTGGATCTAAAACAATTGACAATTGCAGACGAAGGACAATACAAATGTTTTGCATCAAATACAGTTGAACAAACTTTTTACAAGTTTTCACGAACCCTTAATGTAAAAGGTGAGAGGCCGTACACTTATATAAATGAAACTTAATAATAAACCAAATAAATTGCTTTTTTGGAGTAGGATGGACATCGACACAGTTCATTTGTTATTACTCGAATATTCGACTTAGTTAATATAACATGTGAGAATAGAAAATATGTTGTGCACGGATGTATAAATATATAGATAATATTTTATAATAGGCAAATAATTTTGCCTTATTGGGCACAAGGAACCGTTTATTCGTTGGTTATTTCTCAACTACTCTTTTATAATAAACTTTTCAATGCTGTTATGTGTTAAAAGATATATAAAAATGAATGTAACAGTTCTGGTGAACACAGGTTTAAACATATTTTTAGTTCCAAGTCAACCATCAATTACAAACATTACACCGTCATCTTGCAATTCCAATTTATTGATCACTTGGAAGCCACATGTTCGTGGAGTTGGAATACAACACAGGTATCTAGCGCAAAAATACGACCAGGTGTTCCAGAAATAAACACATCTCACGTAAACTCACGATTAAATATGGAAGAAACTGAATACCGTTTGGATTAGGCTGATATGTTGAAGGCTAAATTTTCGGTATATTGTTGAATAATCTAATTTAAATTGATTACTAACAATAAAATATCATAATAACAAACAAAAACATTTAACATTACTGGATACCAATTCATTATTCAAAATACTGAATTTAGCTAATTATTCTACTGGTACTTGTAAGTGATTTAAATACGTCTATTTGTTGTCAATTTGTTTTAAATCATCTATGATTATTGCATCTCTGCTTTAGGGGCCTTATGGTTGAAATTCTCAATAGGCGTTTTGCTGTTAATCTAATAATGGCGTTTCCCCGGCCGGATTGTTGTTTCGTTTTCGTGGCATCGATGAAAAAACGCGACAAAATTTCAAAATTTGCTACCCCCCCCCCCCCACAGAACTAAATACTTAATTGAAAAAGACATTGTTCATCTCGTTAATTCATGGACTGGAAAAGTCTTGGGAAATTTTAGTGAACATGATTTATTATAAGCGCAGTACACTGCTCACCCAAGAATAACTGGGAGATGCGCAGAGCTCAAATGAACTGGCAGTTCCGGTCAAATGGTAACGGTTCGCTGATAATCGGCCGTTTCGAGTATCAGCGAAGATCCTGGGCGCCTGCCGGCTTGTTTATAAACAATCTAATACCGTTATATCATAGATTTGAGATAATGGATCCTATCAACAGCAATAATTATGAAATTTACTCGACGACGCCGAATAATTTCTCCATGACGTCCAACGTGACAGGTTTGCAACCGTCGACATCTTATATAATTAAGGTATTTTTTGATATATAGGATTTATAAATTTTAATTGGCCTAAAATCTCTCTGTTCAAACGACTATGGTCGTATGCAAATTTAACAATTTCGAGTTACCTGAATTTAAACTTTCTTAGATTGAGCCATGCTTAACAACTACGTCAACTTGCCTCAGCAAATATGCCACAAGCCAAAATGCAACCACTGGAGGTCTACCCGGTCCCGTTACAAAACCAAGTCTGAATATGACTAACTATGGCTCCTGCAATGTATCTTGGTCAACAGTAATGAACCCGGAATACATATCCGGTTTCAAGGTTTGTATACTGTCTACTGACGATGTGAATGAGTTAGCGCATTCGACAAGACGCCTTTTTATCACTTTGTGTTTAATTAAACGTAGAGATTATCATGTGACAGAAATTGTCATTTGTTTTAGAATTTTAATTGATTCAAGTTGATTTAATTTAATTATATCAGCATAATACTCTTTGAAACTGAACTCCATCTTTAAGACATGTTTGATGCCGAAAAAAAGACAATAATGTTCTGTGAATTGTGAAAACAATTATACCTAAAAAATAATCATTTCATTTTAGCTCGTTATCAACTCAACAAAAGCCATAGTGTCGTCATACTATAAAGATGATTTTAAAATAAATGAAATATTTCTTCCATCTGAGAATACCTCATATGTTCTTTCGAAGATTTTCAATAGAAAATACAATGTCTCTATTCAAGCTAAAACTTGTGCAGGGTTTGGACCAGGGTCAGAGGCGATGGGGGAATGTGTTACCGATACTAATGGTAATTGAAAATTTTCCTTATTGTCTCTATGTTTCAGGCTTTCGTAATTTGATATCACAATGAAATATAATTATTTCCGATTATGAATGATATACATCATATACACAATATATATCTTTATTGCATTTCTGCTTAGATTTAACTTGCAATTGCCGGCCAGATGAAATTTTAATAAATACGTAGATTACATTGTAAAAATAATACCACACTCAAATAGTCTAGTATTATCTCTTTATTTGAACGCAAAACGCATATGCTTAATGTATGAATAAAAATGAAAAAATTCATGTAATTTACAGCACCATCCAACTTTCAGGCACCAATTGCCAGAGATAAAATGACTAAGTCTGGAATTGTGGAATTTTCTTGTTAGCAACACAAAAATATTTTGTCGGTGATATATATAACTAACCTCATACATCTAGACACAGACACACAAATCTCAAACACACACAAAAAAAAGT